TCCGAACTACTGGTACACCTCATTCCACGAGGAGTAACGGTAGTTCGGAATAGGAAGCCTAATCCGAACTACCTAGTCCGTGCCGCGTGTAGCCGCGGGCACGGAGTCCGAACTAGCGGACATTTAAAAATGGCGGAGCCCAGCAATATGCAAATGAAGCCCAGGATATTCAAATCCCGGGCTTCATTTGCAACTTCGGTTGCCTACATTAACCACCCTACTTCGAACTAGGGTAGTAGTGTAGACATACCCTAAATGTCTAAAGAAGTACAAATAATTGTAAATTTAACTGTATGCAGAAAAAATTACTGCAGTATTAGCAACCCTGACACGATTTTCAGAAATGTTGAGCATCTACAAATTATAGTGAAGTCAATGGGAGCTGCAGATCCTTGATAACTCTGAAAAAAAATCAAGCAAATGGATCTTGCTTGGGTTCTATCAAGAGCCAGCTTAATCCAACATTGTCATCAGTAAACTGACCGAATAAACCTTTTGCTCAGAACTAGAAAAACAAGTGAAAACTAGTTAGTTTCAGTTTCCAATATGGACATACAATTGCTAATTTTTGTTCAGATCTCTTTAGATTCAGTATTTTTAATAGAACTTGATAGAACTTGTACTCATTGGAGTCTCACACATTTCTGGTAACTAAGTTGTGTGGTTTTGCTTTATAATAATTAAGATGGCTGTGACTCCTAAGCAGTCACAAAGATTTACACAGTGTAGAAAGCTTAATAAGCCCTGAGACTGAACAAGATGAACTTTTAGAATGAAACTCAATAGATATGAAGATGAACTTGCACAGATGGAAAAGTCACAGAACCTCATGCAAACTGAAACCAACAAGTTTCACACAGTCCCAGACATTTCTGTAACAGGCTTCTACAATAATAATGAATCGTATTTCTTTTCACTCTTGCATTATTTGTATGTCTGCCCCCCTCTCTCTTTTTCTAAATCTAGACACATTTTTCTCTTGTTTATTCATGATTCTGAGCACTTGACTTAAATTTGTTTTTTAAATTATTTCTGGACAAGTCTCATATTTAAAAAAAATAGATTTTGTTTTTTGCATCTCTACTGCTATCTTGTATTTTTCAGCTAATTAGAATCAATAACTTAATTTTAACTTAATTATCAAAGTCCCACTAAAACATTACCATTTAACATCCTGAGACCATCGCCTGACGTGGCCTGTTTAAGTGCCTGTTCCACTTGCTCTCTTCTCTTTGATTCAAACTCCAGGGCTTCCTGCAATTTTCTCTTTGCTTTTTTTTCTTTCTTCAAGCGCTTTTGAATTGTTGCTGAAAAGTAAATATAGTACAAAGAGTTAATTAAAAAGTTCCAAGTGTAAGCTACAAATGATGCTTTCATAACAACGATAGAGCTGAAATTCAAGCTCTGTGGAGCCATGAGACAAAACTATCAGAAATGGGTCTGTTACAAAAATTACAAATCCATATCCAAAATATCAAAATGTTTGGATCACAATATTTTAAAAGTCCCGATCCTGCTTTCCTCAATGATAGTGAGCAGTCACACTGATGTCAGTATATCAAACAGCGTTGAGGGATCAGCAGTGAAATTTGGACTAGTTTTAGACTGAAAAAAATTAAAAAACAACGAATAGTCCTTATTCCAGAAAGTTTGAGGCAGATTGGACTTAGAGTTTTGTTGTTTACACCCATTCTAATAAAATGCAATTTCCTCAGCAATGACATAGGTGTCTAATCTTCCATTCGAACTCTACCCTTCATCATTGAGAATACTGACCCATTTTTTCCAATCACTATATGTACAAAGCAAACAACTGCAATTATATTAGTAATCTCTGCAAAGCACAAATCAGGTGCTGGGTGTGATGCTATTCACATTGACATATCAGAATATTTACTACTTAGACATCCAGGGTATTTTCCAATATTAAAAGGAAGTGTAATTTTCTATGTTTAAATTCCCAGCTGTCATAAAATCTCAAATGCTTAATATATAATAAATAATAATAATAATAATAATGTTATGGAGATGGGGGTGAAACCTCATTGAAGCTGGTGGGCATTATACATTTTTCATTTATGTTAAATGTAGAAGCGTTCAGACTAATTTTGGAGTAAAATAGCTGAAAGCAGCACATAAGGTTGCCACATAAAGCTGAACACTAGGGACTGAATGCAAATAGAGGGGGTTGACTACTGTTTGGTAGAAGTGTCTGTATTTTTGAGCAGAAGCAATCCAATATGGGCATAGAAGGAGAAAGAAGGGAGCTAATCAGAACAGTAGCAAGAGGGTACTTCTGAGACAGAGAGAGAGAAAATGCACTTTTTGGACACAGCGTTAACTGAAAAAACAGTTACTTACCTCTTTTGAGAGGTAACTGTTCTTTTGAGATATGCTGCTTATGTTCATTTCACTTAGTTGTACGCACACCGCGTGCAAGAGTCCCAGAAGCTTTTTACTGGTAGCAGTGCTTACAGGGTCAGCCAGGGAGACCCCTGGAGTGGAGCTGATATATTAGTGCATATATACCCCTGCTGGCCCTCCACCCCCTCTGTTCCTTTTTGCCAGACATTCCGACAAAGGGGAGGTGGGTGGGATTTGGAATGGACATGAGCAACACATCTCGAAGAACAACAGTTATGAGGTAAGTAACCATTTTTTCTTCTTCAAATGATTGCTTATGTCCATTCCACTTAGGTGATTCCCAAGCTGTGTCCAAGGAGGAGGGGTCAGAACCTAGGAGAAAATTGATTGCAACACTGATCCGCCAATGGCTGCATCTTGTCTAGCCTTCTGTGTGATCACATAGTGGTTAGTAAAAGTATGGACCAATGACCATGCAGCCACCCTACAGATGTCTAGGATCGGAACCTGCACTGCAAAGGCCATAGAGAAGGCCTGGGCTCTGGTAGAATGGGCTGTGATAGGAAGGACCGGTTTTCCCCCTTGGTCATAGCACACCTTAATACATGCTGTGTTCCATGAGGACAGACACTGAGCCAACAGTGGGAGGCCCTTCAACCTCTCTGCTACAGAAATAAAAAGCCGTGTGGCTCTATGAAACTGTTTTATCTTATCTAAGTAAAAGGCAAAAGCTCTCCTTACATCTAACAAGTGTAGCGCCTGTTCCTTCTGGTCTGCATGGAGCTTAGAGTAGAAGACCAGCAGGAAAATATCCTGGGACATATGGAAAGGGGACACCATTTTGGGCAGAAATGCAGGCTGTGGACACAGTGTCACTTTGTCCTTAGAGTATACAGTGTAAAGTGGTTCCAGTGTACAGTGCCCTCAGCTTGGACACCCATCTGGCCGAGGTGACAGCCATCAGGAAGGCCACCTTACACAAGAAATGAGAGGGAGCACGTAGCTATCAGGTCAAATGGTGGCTGCATGAGGCCCTGGAGCACCAAATTCAAGTCCCACTGTGGTACGGGCTGCCTGACCTCAGGCAACACAAAATGGTGCAACACAAAATTTCCAAAAAGCTCTTGAAAGATATTAGGGGGAACTTTTTGTTTCAGAAAGTAGAGGAAGGAACCAGAGGGCTAGCCATTTTAAGATTGAGTCTGACCTACAGGAAGAAATTAGGAGTAAATAGAAAGATTTAGGAGTAAATAGGAAGTAAATAGGCAATCTGGGTGAAAGTGACTTTGAAATGATAAATGCCAAAGTTCTA